TGGAAAATAACCCGACAGCGCCACCTGCCATTGCTGGATATGCCGCACCTCCCTATCCGCTGCACCCACCAGAAGCTGCGAAGGTATGGAATTTGTCTTCGATTTTTGTATTGCCTCATATTCAGACACACTTCAGACATCTTAAATGGAGAGCCAGACCATCATCTTGTGGCCATCAGCCAATCATTGTCAATCTGTCTGCAAAATGCCAGGGTGGCTCTCTGTTTAAGGTATACTAAGTGTCTAGTGGGGAACTCTTGATGAGCCTTATTCTGTTTCTTTTGTGACAAGGTTCTATTTTGTAAATATCCTACTATTTATGATAGATTTTTAGCTATGATAGTTTTTTTCTTTCATTTCCTTTCTTTTGCTGTATATTACACTTCCAGTTGAAAGATATGCATATTAGGAAATGAAAAACAACATCAGTAAGTTAAAATTAGCCGGTAATGAAAAAAATGTGTATATCACATTTTATCATGTAAATGAATTTGTTTTATGATTTGCATTGCCTGGTACTTCTCTAGATCGCTAATCAACCTTAGGCAAATCTGATGGTGTTTAATCCTATAAGTCCTATGAAGGACAATTAGGTTTGCTACCAAGGATTGTGCAAGGGCCACCAAAAACAGGTGGGAGAGTTGAGAGGAGTTCTCTTGGTTCTAGATGATTGCCTAGAGCATGGCCTTGCTCTCCAGGTGGCTGAGTTTTGCCCCTCCTCCTCTCCTACACAAGTGGTAGAAAGGCTACTTATTGTGTATGTCCTCCCACTCCCTGATTTTCACAGCTTTTATTTTTATTTGCATAGTTCATAACAGCATGATTAGTAAGCTAATGAATTTAAGGGCAGAGGTACCATGGAGTAGGTGGAAATTATCTCTCCTCCATATCTTGACCTCCAACTCCTCTCTCCCCTTTTTCGAGGAATAGATTTTCTCTTTATGGATGTGTACCATGTGTAACGTAATTTGTTTTAGTATTTAGTTCCTTCAAACATTATGTTTTATTTTGATAAAGATAATGGGAAATAAGTTCTCAAGACTTATCATCATAGTTATATTATTGCCTTGTTAAGGCTTAAATCCAAGAGTTTTACTGTTTTTTTACTCCAAATTTTCTTGAAAAGCAACATTCATTCTCATATGCCTTGCAGTTGAATAGTGTAACAGATCAGTGAACTATCAGTCTTCCAAATTTTGTTGTTTGTTATTTTTGTATTTTTGCATTGGTATTAGAATGAAGAATGTCCAAGTATTTAGGCTGATTATTTAACTGTTTAATTTTGCTCCTCTGATGTATGATTTTTGAAAATGGGATTTAATAATGAGCATTATATGATCCTTTTTATTTGTCTATTTATATGTTTATATATTTATGTGTTTATTTTTCTCACAGCAGCAGAATAGCTTGGCCCATCTGTACCCTTCTCTGGGAGACTACATGGGCCTAGAGTTCACTGATGAGGTTATTGCTGCGAACATGCCAGAATATTTGGCCGTCGCACAAGTGCAGCCTGTAAGTAGTTGTTTTTTTCTTCTACTTTTTATAAATAGGAGTAGTATCAGTTAGTAGTATTTTTTACATCTTTTTAGAAATAGTAGATTTTTTAATTATAGTAATGCTAAGCTAACAGTGATATTTGTAGTAATATATTGTAGTAATTTATAGTGATAATAATGCTAGATATGACCAGCTTGACAGTTTTTGGCAGCTAATGTAGATCCTCCACCTCTTGAGAGAAAGTTCTGGGACCAAAGTTTGGTAGTGGGCTCAAGGAGGAGTGTTTGGCCATCAAGCGGCGAGGTTTATTGATTTAGTTTCTCCAGGTCAGACCCAGAAGTCCAGGGTCGAGTCAGTGTTTCTCTTAAATTCCCTGCGAGTGTGGAGGTGAGGGATAGCAAGGCAAGGCAAAGGGGTGTGGTTGGTGATGATTGGTTTTTGTACGCAATGAAGGATTTGATTTGTGTCGTCGAGGGATTGGCATGAACATTTTTGAATGTGTATTGGGGGCGTGTTTTTTTTTTTTTTTAGAATGAGAAAGATTGGATTTATGTTGTTGAAGGATTGTTTTTGTGATGAGAATGCTGAATGGTTTTACAGTTTGTGTGATTAGTTCCATGCTGAGTTTTAACCCATTGCTGCCGGGGAGAATGCAGTACTCATTTTTTATATTTTTATGAAATATCTCTGATTTCACCTGTCCTTGAATTGGCAGGAAAAAACGTATTCTTACTAGTGCTATCAATATAGATGGTATTATTTTTAACAGTAAATTAGGATAACGTTAAATATTTTCGTAAATCGATGAAAAGGGTGAATGGGCGAGACAGGCAGTACTTGTAATTGGCTCATTGGATACTTAGTACAATTGAAGCCATCTATGTGTAAAAACAATCGAACAAGTCGACTCGCAGTGGGCATGGCATATACGTACATGCCATCCCCAGCGGCAATGGGTTAACAGAGGGATTTAGGTAACTGGTTGTGTGATTAAAATGTGTATGTATTGTAAGTGTGCAAGACAAGCTGATGATTTCTGGCTTTGAGTGTCTATATGTATGTGTTGATTTTAGGGTTTTAGGTTTTTGAGGGTTTAGGTTAAGGTGAGTTAAGGATGAATATATATATATATGGAACTGTTCATAATTATTCACTTGCATACACACATTTACATAGATTCTTCATAGCATTTACAATCATTTCATTACATAGTAGCAGTCTTGTGTACAGAGCATACATGTACATATTCACATGCAAATTACACATTCATACTCACACACACTCAGTCACTCACTGACTCACTGACTTTCCCCTCCTGTTTTCAGGGAACTGTGGCTGTGGCCCCAGCCTCAGGACCGGCCGCAGTGGTGCCCTCAGGGATGGTGGCTCCAATCTCCGGTGCGTCTCCTGGACTTTACCGAGCTCAGGTCACTAATTCCATCCGAGAGGTAGGTCCTGCTTTTATTTTGCTTGCCTTCTACTTCTTCATTATTATCAATTTCTTTGGTTTTTATTTTCCATATTGTATAATATTAGTCTTATTATGATTTTGTTTCCTTTCTTTTCTTCTTTACTCTTTTTCTTATAGATCACAGTACCCCTTACAGTACACTAAGTCCTTTCATTCAGTGCAATTTTGTAGAAAATGTTCTCTCCTTATTCTTTTACATTCTCATTGTTCTGCTCATTCAGAAAGAAACTCTGTTTTGCTAAGTATTTCCCTCTCTCTCGCACTCTGTGTGTGTGTGTGTGTGTGTGTGTGTGTGTGTGTGTGTGTGTGTGTGTGTGTGTGTGTGTGTGTGTGTGTGTGTGTGTGAGTGTGTGTGTGTGTGTGTGTGTGTGGTGTGTGTGTGTGTGAGTGTGTGTGTGTGTGTGTGTGTTGTGTGTGTGTGTGTGTGAGTGTGTGTGAGTGTGTGTGAGTGTGTGTGAGTGTGTGTGTGTGTGGTGTGTGTGTGTGTGTGTGTGTGGTGTGTGTGTGGTGTGTGTGTGTGTGGTGGTGTGTGTGTGTGTGTGTGTTGTGTGTGTGTGTGTGTGTGTGTGTGTGTGTGTGTGTGTGTGTGTGAGTGTGAGTGTGTGTGTGTGAGAGTGTGAAGGAAATTCTTACATAATATTGAGGTAATATATTGCTTATTTTTAAAAATAAAACTCTTCTCCTTTGCTTGAGTTTTCCCAAGTACATATTATATAAAAGAATTTCTCTTGCAGATCACCCTCTGCAAGGACAGTGAGGGCAAGGTAGGCATGCGTGTCAAGGCGATCAACAAGGGCGTGTTCGTGTGCCTGGTCAAGAAGAACTCGCCAGCAGCTCTTGCAGGTGAGTGTAGTGCGAGAGTCAGCTCTCTGAGTAACTTGTATATTCTTGCTGTTTTTAACTCATTGGCCCATGGGCTTGCATACTGTTGATTGTAGTTTTCTGTTCAGCCACCGTGGAGACGATTATTAGGCACCAGTGACTGTGCCTGATTTCACATTTCCTTGAATTTGAAGGAAATTTTTTATTCTAATGCAATTGTTATCAATAATGTTTTATTATTATGATTAATATGATGTTATTAACCCATTCGCCACACGTGGCAAGAATAGATGCCATACCCACTTTGATACACGTTTATTTATTGTATTTACACATAGATGTCTCTACAAGTTCTTAATCACCAAATAGCCAGTTATCAAGGACTACCTATTTCACCTGTTTATCCTTTTCCTTCACTTTAGGAAAGGGTTTTTTTGTATCATTTCATTGTCTAAAATATTCTAATGACAATTCAATAATTATAACATCAATAACAATAATAACAGTATCGAAAGCAATGGAATTAGTTTTCCTGCCAATTCAATGAATGGGAAAATCAGGGTCGGTAACTAGGGCCTACTGATAGACTCCTTGCTGGCTGAGTACATGTAGAGCCATCTGTATGTAACAAAATTCACCAAAAACTACAGGGGACAGAACATAAATCCGTGGCGAATGGGTTAAGATAGTACTACTAATAATAAGATCTAAGAAAAAGAAACAAAAATTGAGGAAAAGTGTAAGCAGGTTACATAGATACAAATAATAACTACCTCCTTGTTGATTAAGCAAAACAAAATCAATAATCTAAAATCAGAGTGGACATGGCATGTAATCATTATGTTAAGGTGTATGGTTATGTAGGTTCTTTCTGAAGGAGAGAGGGATGGCGTTAGGTCAATGCCTGATGTTGATTAGTTAACTTATTATTATTTTTGTTTTTTATTTTAGTACTCTTATTGTTATTATTGTGATATGATTTATTATTGGTAATTTTATGATTACTCTTGTGTTATTACCATAGTTTGATGCATTTATTTTATAGATGATAATAGATCTCAAGTTTACCATGTGTAACCATGAAAGACCAGGCCAGCTTTGATCAGTGTGAATAATGCAGTTTGTCACAGAAAAAAATTGTTTTTTATATTGATATTAAAACATACATAAGATGATAGCAAATAACAGACATTACATAGGTGGTAGGAGTCGCAGGAAATATATGATAGGTCAGAGGACATTACTCCTGCTGCCACTGAAAAGTATTGTGGTGGTATATTAGAGTTTGCTGCATTCTTTACCTTTCAGTGTTCTTTGTGCCCCTTCAGACTAGGTGGCCCTAAGCTATATTATTGTTGTGGAGAGGTCACTTATCCAGGAAACTTCTAATGAAAATATATTAATTCTATTTTCTCTGTTTGGGACTTCAATTTCCTTTTGATCTCTTTTGCATCTTGAGGTCTTTATTTTTTGTTGAGAAATAGAAGTGGTAATCATGAAAGGTCAGTGTCTGCTGGAATTTTGTCTTATGATTTGCTATATCTCAAAGTTAATGCCGCTAATTAGAACAAACATTTATATCATTATAGATACCATCTTGATATAATCTATTGTAATCATATAATAACATAAATATTGCATTAAGTCCTACTCACATTATGACAGTATTATTACAATTTAGTATATCTAAATGTAATAGGGCATCCCTACATTTGTTGTCATTGTATTAGCTGTAAAGGCAGGCAGCACTATTTATGTATTTTTTATTATAATATAATAGTGAAAATGTAGATGACAACTTGGTTAACATTTGGCATTAAATCAAAATGGCCTCCTAGCTTTCATTATTACTTCTAATGCAGAATAATCCTCAATATAGGAAAATTTCATAACAACAAATTATACACAGTCCTTGCAGATGTGAATAGAAAATATAATTAAAATTATATGAAAAGTTAAATTAATCCCTGCCAGATAATCAACTGAGGCTTCCAAGCTTCCCTTATGAATTCCGATGCAGAATTATGATTTTTTTGTAAATGTGTGTTGTAGTTTTAAAGACAGTCCTTATCCACGAGGGACACTTCCATACATGTTCTAATACTTGAGATGTCAAAGAAGATAACCACACATCACTAACCACATGTCAACTTTGAAGGTCAATTCTGATTTATTATTAACAGTTAATTGAACAGTTTCCTACATATTTAAATCAATTTTCTATTGAAGAATACAAATAGAGCTGTGCCCCCTCACATATGATGCAATGACAACAAATGTATGATTGTCCAAATGAAAAATTAGATATGTGGAATGTGTAATAATATTGCCATACTGTAAGATTTATTGCTTTACTGCAATCAATTATCATAGTCTCTAACAATGTAAATGTCTGTTCTAAGTAGCAGCATTAATTTTGTGGCAACACTGCAGATCATAGACAAAATTGCAAAGAATGATCATAGACATTTTGTGAATACCCACCCCCTTGGGTGAAAAATATAAGGTTTAAGAGTTTACCACTTTTAATTTCAGGAGACTTTTAGCTATTGAAAATTGATAGCTTCACTGGCAAAAGAGAAAAAAAAGAGAAAGATCATATCGTTTACACATATTTTGTGTGTAAAGTGACCTCATAATTATAAATTCAAGTATAGATTCTAGACATCACAGAAGGATGTTAGTTTTATCATTTTTCCTGTCTCTTACTGCATAGTTTAACCCATTGCTGACAGGCATGCCATGCCATGCCCACTGTGACTTTACTTGTTTAATTGTTTTTACACATAGATGGCTACACTGTTCTCCATGATACTAAGGAACAGAACCGTAAATACTTATTTTAGCTTTTCATATGCATAGAAGCAAACTTTTACATCTATTTTGATTTATGTACAGGACTGCGCTTTGGAGACCAGATCTTGCAGATCAACAGTGAAAATGTGGCAGGGTATTCAATGGAAAAAGTACATGACATGCTGAAGAAGAGTCCTACTAATGGAATTTCCCTTGCCATTAGAGACAGGTGAGTGTCTTTTTCTTTTTTCCTTTTCCTTTTGTTGCTTCTTGAAGAGGGACAACAGGGAAAGAGGTTGGTTTGTTTCATTCATTGACATGATATATCTGTGTGTGTGTGTGTGTGTGTGTGTGTGTGTGTGTGTGTGTGTGTGTGTGTGTGTGTGTGTGTGTGTGTGTGTGTGTGTGTGTGTGTGTGTGTGTGTGTGTGTGTGTGTGTGTGTGTGTGTGTGTGTGTGGGGGCGCGCGTGAGTGTGTGTGGGCGTGCGTGAGTGTTATATAATTGATTAATTTATTTCTTCCCTCCCTCCTCCCCTTCTAGGCCATTCGAGAGAACTGTTACCTTACACAAGGACAGCACAGGTCACATTGGGTTCCAGTTCCGTGATGGAGAGATCACTGCCCTTGTCAAGGATTCCTCGGCTGCGCGAAATGGACTTCTCACAGACCACCATCTGCTGGAGGTAAGGCTTGGTTTAGTGATGGCGGTTTTCTTGCTCTTAACAAACTCAGGTTTGTTTATTTGTTTATATTTTGTTTGGCTCTGTGTTTCCTTATATCTGTACATATATATATTTTTTGTTCTTTGTTTATCTCGGGTATTTTCATCTCTCTCTGTCTCTCACTTTGTATCAAACTTTCTCTCATTTTCTTTATATTGTTTATTCTTTCATATTTTACTCTTGTGTCTCTTGCTCCTTTATTCTCATATTCTGTCTGTCTCTCTCTATCTCTCACTTTATATTTTTTACTCTCATGTCTTTCTCTCTCATATTCTCCCTTCTTCACTGTCTTGTCTTTCTCTCTCACTCTCCCTTCTTTGCTGTCTGTCTTTCTCTCATTCCCCCTTCACTGTCTTGTCTTTCTCTCTCACTCTCCCTTCCTCGCTATCTGTTTTTCTAATTTATTCTATCTCTCTCAAGTTATTCTTGTCTCACTCAAGTTATTCAAATCTCAGTCTCTCAGTCTCTCTCAGTATCTCTCTCTCTCTCAAATTATTCAAGTCTCAGTCTCTCTCTCTCTCTCTCTCTCTCTCTCTCTCTCTCTCTCTCTCTCTCTCTCTCTCTCTCTCTCTCTCTCTCTCTCTCTCTCTCTCTCTCTCTCTCTCTCTCTCTATCCCATATTTAATATTGAATTCTTTGTCTGAATTTTAAAAGTTTACATAGCATTCATGACCCCAATTTGGCTCTTTACAGGTGAATGGGCAGAATGTGGTGGGGCTGAAGGACAAGGAAGTCTCAGCCATAATCAATGAGTGTGGGCCAGGGTGGTCAATGGAAAAAGTACATGACATGCTGAAGAAGAGTCCTACTAATGGAATTTCCCTTGCCATTAGAGACAGGTGAGTGTCTTTTTCTTTTTTTCCTTTTCCTTTTGTTGCTTCTTGAAGAGGGACAACAGGGAAAGAGGTTGGTTTGTTTCATTCATTGACATGATATATATCTGTGTGTGTGTGTGTGTGTGTGTGTGTGTGTGTGTGTGTGTGTGTGTGTGTGTGTGTGTGTGTGTGTGTGTGTGTGTGTGTGTGTGTGTGTGTGTGTGTGTGTGTGTGTGTGTGTGTGTGTGTGTGTGTGTGTGTGTGTGTGTGTGTGTGTGTGTGTGTGTGTGTGTGTGTGTGTGTGTGTGTGTGTGTGTGTGTGTGTGTGTGTGTGTGTGTGTGTGTGTGTGTGTGTGTGTGTGTGTGTGTGTGTGTGTGTGTGTGTGTGTGTGTGTGTGTGTGTGTGTGTGTGTGTGTGTGTGTGTGTGTGTGTGTGTGTGTGTGTGTGTGTGTGTGTGTGTGTGTGTGTGTGTGTGTGTGTGTGTGTGTGTGTGTGTGTGTGTGTGTGTGTGTGTGTGTGTGTGTGTGTGTGTGTGTGTGTGTGTGTGTGTGTGTGTGTGTGTGTGTGTGTGTGTGTGTGTGTGTGTGTGTGTGTGTGTGTGTGTGTGTGTGTGTGTGTGTGTGTGTGTGTGTGTGTGTGTGTGTGTGTGTGTGTGTGTGTGTGTGTGTGTGTGTGTGTGTGTGTGTGTGTGTGTGTGTGTGTGTGTGTGTGTGTGTGTGTGTGTGTGTGTGTGTGTGTGTGTGTGTGTGTGTGTGTGTGTGTGTGTGTGTGTGTGTGTGTGTGTGTGTGTGTGTGTGTGTGTGTGTGTGTGTGTGTGTGTGTGTGTGTGTGTGTGTGTGTGTGTGTGTGTGTGTGTGTGTGTGTGTGTGTGTGTGTGTGTGTGTGTGTGTGTGTGTGTGTGTGTGTGTGTGTGTGTGTGTGTGTGTGTGTGTGTGTGTGTGTGTGTGTGTGTGTGTGTGTGTGTGTGTGTGTGTGTGTGTGTGTGTGTGTGTGTGTGTGTGTGTGTGTGTGTGTGTGTGTGTGTGTGTGTGTGTGTGTGTGTGTGTGTGTGTGTGTGTGTGTGTGTGTGTGTGTGTGTGTGTGTGTGTGTGTGTGTGTGTGTGTGTGTGTGTGTGTGTGTGTGTGTGTGTGTGTGTGTGTGTGTGTGTGTGTGTGTGTGTGTGTGTGTGTGTGTGTGTGTGTGTGTGTGTGTGTGTGTGTGTGTGTGTGTGTGTGTGTGTGTGTGTGTGTGTGTGTGTGTGTGTGTGTGTGTGTGTGTGTGTGTGTGTGTGTGTGTGTGTGTGTGTGTGTGTGTGTGTGTGTGTGTGTGTGTGTGTGTGTGTGTGTGTGTGTGTGTGTGTGTGTGTGTGTGTGTGTGTGTGTGTGTGTGTGTGTGTGTGTGTGTGTGTGTGTGTGTGTGTGTGTGTGTGTGTGTGTGTGTGTGTGTGTGTGTGTGTGTGTGTGTGTGTGTGTGTGTGTGTGTGTGTGTGTGTGTGTGTGTGTGTGTGTGTGTGTGTGTGTGTGTGTGTGTGTGTGTGTGTGTGTGTGTGTGTGTGTGTGTGTGTGTGTGTGTGTGTGTGTGTGTGTGTGTGTGTGTGTGTGTGTGTGTGTGTGTGTGTGTGTGTGTGTGTGTGTGTGTGTGTGTGTGTGTGTGTGTGTGTGTGTGTGTGTGTGTGTGTGTGTGTGTGTGTGTGTGTGTGTGTGTGTGTGTGTGTGTGTGTGTGTGTGTGTGTGTGTGTGTGTGTGTGTGTGTGTGTGTGTGTGTGTGTGTGTGTGTGTGTGTGTGTGTGTGTGTGTGTGTGTGTGTGTGTGTGTGTGTGTGTGTGTGTGTGTGTGTGTGTGTGTGTGTGTGTGTGTGTGTGTGTGTGTGTGTGTGTGTGTGTGTGTGTGTGTGTGTGTGTGTGTGTGTGTGTGTGTGTGTGTGTGTGTGTGTGTGTGTGTGTGTGTGTGTGTGTGTGTGTGTGTGTGTGTGTGTGTGTGTGTGTGTGTGTGTGTGTGTGTGTGTGTGTGTGTGTGTGTGTGTGTGTGTGTGTGTGTGTGTGTGTGTGTGTGTGTGTGTGTGTGTGTGTGTGTGTGTGTGTGTGTGTGTGTGTGTGTGTGTGTGTGTGTGTGTGTGTGTGTGTGTGTGTGTGTGTGTGTGTGTGTGTGTGTGTGTGTGTGTGTGTGTGTGTGTGTGTGTGTGTGTGTGTGTGTGTGTGTGTGTGTGTGTGTGTGTGTGTGTGTGTGTGTGTGTGTGTGTGTGTGTGTGTGTGTGTGTGTGTGTGTGTGTGTGTGTGTGTGTGTGTGTGTGTGTGTGTGTGTGTGTGTGTGTGTGTGTGTGTGTGTGTGTGTGTGTGTGTGTGTGTGTGTGTGTGTGTGTGTGTGTGTGTGTGTGTGTGTGTGTGTGTGTGTGTGTGTGTGTGTGTGTGTGTGTGTGTGTGTGTGTGTGTGTGTGTGTGTGTGTGTGTGTGTGTGTGTGTGTGTGTGTGTGTGTGTGTGTGTGTGTGTGTGTGTGTGTGTGTGTGTGTGTGTGTGTGTGTGTGTGTGTGTGTGTGTGTGTGTGTGTGTGTGTGTGTGTGTGTGTGTGTGTGTGTGTGTGTGTGTGTGTGTGTGTGTGTGTGTGTATGGCTATTTTTATATGTGAAAGAAGTGGTCCCTATTTATTTTGTTGTCATTTTAATTTCTCTCTCTTATTTTTCCCCCCACTTTCTCACTGTATATGTATGCATTCTTTCCATGGAAAGATAAATTACTTGATTATTAGAATTGATATATTGGTTTCTTATATAAGGTATTCTTTTCATGGTATGTTAAAATATGTATCCAGTGTGAAGTGGATGCATTAGAAGTAGAGTTACGTAAAAGGATTAGGGTAGCTTGTTTGTTGAGTGTAGAGAGATCAACAAAATCCAGGTGCCAATTGAGTACTGAATATATTACTCATATACTAAGTAGTTGAATAATAATATAGAAGAAGGGAGTGAACTAACAATGGATGTTAGGACCCTTTCCAAATGTTCAACTTGCTAGCATGAGTTCCTAAGTCTTAGAGAGGTTTACATCTAAATTTGTATAGTATGTATTCATTTCTGGATAAGTCAGCATTATTCAATTTGACAACTACTGTTTTGCTTCAAAAAAACAAAAGAATTGCCTGGTAGTTTTAACTGTAATGGTGCAGTTATTTTACTTAATGAAATCTATTGCCCTTGCAAAAGAGAGGTAATATGGGAATTAATTGCATTTAACATTTAATTGTACCACATGAACAGGGTAGACTACAAACTTCTGAGGTTACAAGTAAAATTCACAAGATTGAATTGTATTTATCCCATAATAGAAGGAGTGAAGATTGTAAGGATGCATGTGAAAGCACAAAGCATGTTTTTTTGTCACTGTAAAGGTAGTACCATATTCAGTTATATTTAATTCTCTGAATGTAATGTTTCTTATGGTATCATTAATATGGATGATTAGTGATATTATGTACCATGTACACCTAATCATTAGTAATGATTTAGTCATTGGTTTTGTATATTATATCCAAATACCTTTTCTAATGGTTCATTCATTGTACCTTATAGTCAATAGCTAGGTGTATTTTATATAATACAGACAAATATTTCGCTGTTGTATCCTTCCAAATGTTAGAAACTACATAATGCATTGTTCCAATTACTGATATTATAAATGTATGTTAAAATGTTTGGATGTTAATTACACTCAGTTATGTACTCCTACATGCAGATTCAGCTAAAATATTTTTACAAACACGAACTATCAAGTACACAAACACACACCTGAAAAAAAAAGAAAAAAAAAATTGTTTTAATGGTCATAAGTTAAGGTAGATAGCTATATTATTTGTAAAGAAAAAGAATCTTATAGTAAACACTACACAAACAGCAGAAATACACGAAACCTGGAAACCAGTCCATGATCCACTATTCAACATTGAAAGGTTATTTCTAAGCATAACACAACAGCACACATTTTCCGTTGCATCTAGTATAATGGTCCTAAGTCTGAATTACCTATATACTGTAAGCAGGTAAACGTCATAAAGAGAACAGAATGTTTTATGTTGAAGGGCATTAAGAGTTACAAAAGAAATCAATTGTCATAAATTTTTGGTGGAGTTGTGTGTGTGTTGAGGCAGTACCACAGGGTCCATTTGTGTTTGATTATACCTCACATTGGTTGACTTTGTGAGGTTTGTGATAAAAATAAAAAAAAATATATATGATTATATCCATTATCTTTATTAAAAGGAAGCTTTGATGTCATTATCCCATTTTTATTTCAACCTTTTTGGGCAATGTTTTATTTAGTCTTATCACTTCCTCATTAGCAAAAGTGATATCTCTAAAGTATACATGTGTTCGCCTCAGTGACTTGCCAGCCTACACAATGGGAGTCCATCTGCATTTGTTCATGCAGATATGTATTCTTCCAGAGGGGTAAGGGGACAAAGGGAGAGAGAAGAAGAGAAAGATAATTTGGGGTCATGAAGATCATCCCATTGACAGAGCAACCACACACACCATCCATTGGACCCCAAAACATAACTTTTGCTGGCGCAGATATACAATGTGGGAGAGAAGAAAAGACTAATATCGCAGACAAGGAGGAATGAACTGGATATTCTCACTGAGTAATGGCACAAACCTTGGGATGCAAATACTAAGGAGAATTAGTAGATCACTTCAGTTTAATGTACCACAAACACATTATGAGGCTGAATCTGTCTCAAGAACAGAATCTGGTATAAAAGAGAGCAAAAATGACAATCATAAACTCAGCCAATACTAAAACCAAACAAAAGGCTTGAATAAAAAGATTGTTAAGATACATGAAAAAATAATTTAGAATAATCAAAATAGTGAAAGTCCCGGTAAACAGGACACAAATTGGCTTTGTTGAGACGAGCCTAAACACGCTATTTACGCAGATTTCCAGGGTGAGCAGCAGTTGTAGGACTGTGTGCCTGTTGGCATAGGCTGGTAGGGACACAACTGGCTCAGTATTCTATCAGGAAGCTTCTTCGGGTAGCACAGCAGTTCCTTTTCTAGCTCAAACTGTGAACGGCTTGCTGGAAGACGGCCTAGAGGAATATACTGTCCTTCCTGGTAGGATGTAATCTCCCTCTGCAGCTCGTCTTGTTGCTGCTTTTTTCTCATTACACTTGCGGCAATTGACAAGAGGTCTGATTGGGGGTAACACTGAATCCAACACGGGAGTCGAAGTAGGGGTTTCTGCTGGCATAATGCCTTCTTCTGGAGAGACGTCGTCTTGGTTATGTTGGGAAAGCATCTCTGGGGGCCGAGATAAGTTGCTAGGCTCCAACTTGAACACATGCTCATAGTTGTATATGGATAACTCATGCGTGAATCTGGTCAACTGGCAACTACGTGAGGCTTGCCATCCTCATCCCTCTGTATCAGTACAGCCCATTATAGCCTGAGATGGGGCATCTGTGTGGACCTCAAAAGGTAGTGAGAAGTCTGGGAGCTTTAGGGTGGGTGCTGTCACAAGTGCTTCCTTAAGGGACCGAAAAGAATCTTCCTGCTCAGAAGTCCATACTAGTCTAATGGGTTTGAGGTGTAGCTATCCTGGCAAACCCATCTATGTGCCTTCTAAAATATCCACAAGCTCCAAGAAACAACGTATTTTTTCCGACATTCCTGGGTCTTAGAATTGTCTCTATGGCTTACACCTTCTTAAGATCAGGTGCCATTCCACTTCCTGACACTGAAATTTCCAGAAAATTTATTTTGGATTGGGCATATACACACTTGTTCGGACTTAGGTTCATTTCAGCAATGTCTAACAGCTGGAGGAATCGTGCAGATGCTCAGTATGGCTTTCGAAAGTAGTAGAGGCCACCACATCATCCACGTAGGCCATTGTACGCCACAGAGGGCAGTATGATGTTTATTATATATGGGGGGGGGTGTCGTAAGATTCTTTACGGTATATACGCACAAAGCTAGGGATAATTGAAGGTGATGTTCTTGTAGAGGAGAAAAAGTTGCAGTCGTCGGTACAAGAAATAATCTGCAGACAAGAATGGTTAAGTCACAAACAAAGAAAAATATAGCGGATAGTGCCGATCACAGTTCTGTCCAGTTCCCGAGGTTCAACTTCATCTTGCCGTGTATACCGAAGTGAACACAGTTTTTCCGAGGGGGTTGGAGAGCTGAGTCCTCCCATCAACCCTCTCCTCGGGCATGCCCAGTTACGGAAACTTGGGTTGTTGGATAAATTTTGTGACGTGGTGTTAGGGACTTAGTCTCTGGTAAGTGCATCCGTATTGAAAAAAAAACAACTTTAGATTCTCTATGGCATAGAGCCATGCCTCGATGTGTTGGTTGCTCCACAGTATCCCTGGTGGGGCCCAAAAGGCGTAGAAGTGTAGGTGGGAACAGGTAGCTGGGGCAAGTGCCGAACTTAAGGCTAATAGAAGAAATGTGGAGGCTAAATCTGCTCTCCGGGGTACAGAGACATCCCCAAGTGGTTGGGATGAAAATCGAGGCTGAAATAGTTCCCAGGGTAGGTTGTAAAGTGGTAGCAGCAGTAGCCCCAGATTGAACGGAAGGTGAAATTCGTGGTGTTGCTCGACCTCGTATCTCTGTATTCTCGCTTCGCAATACTGTTACCTCGGATGACAAGGCATCAGATTTCTGAAGGGCAATGATACCAGTCATATTGTAATTCTCCTCCAGTTCACAAAACTGTTGTCAGGTCCACCTGACACCTGTAGGCTCCCCAAGAACACTGGCCACTTCCTGCGAGCCTCCAGCCATGGAGGTAGGCCAGACGACGACGGGTCTCTGCTGGTGCTACAGTCACCTGACAGACTCTTCTTGGGCCCCAATTAGGCGTATGTTTGGTCTGGCTCTCGGAAAGGGGCGTTCACTTGTCACTACGCAATGGTCCCTGATTATTATTGTTTATTGAACGTCAACATTTAAGGTCATTGGCGGCGCATTCAATTATATTTTTGTATCTGAAATGATTAAAACTTTAATAAGGTTATTCAAATATCATAAATTGTATTACTTTCTATTGGGAACTTTTAAAGATTATGAACAGAATCATAATCATTTCTCAAAATATTTTAAAAAGTAAATAGTCTTTGTAAAGATATATTCCGTGCTTCCTCATAGATATCACAATTTTCTCTGTTCATTGGTTCTTGGCACCTTTGGCAAATAGCACGGGAGGATCCAGACATTATCCATCCGAGTGTTGATCTTGTGTGCCCTATTCTGATTCTTATTAGCACTGCTTCTATTTTTCTGTCGACGTTGGAACTTGTGATCCAGAGACCAAGATCTTTAATAGTTCTCAGCTTAGAGGATTATTTTCCCATTGGTTTCTCCACTTCTGTCTTATCGATTCTCTGATCTGGGGCTTCAGGTCTGAGTGTGGGAGAGGGGAATCAAAGGCAGTGGGAAGGGAAGCAGCAGCTTTGGGCTTTTATCTGCTAGGCCATTTCCAGAGATGCCAACGTGAGCTAGTACCCAGCACAGGATGATACCAGTGTTAGCCAGTCCTAGATTTCTCTTACTACTGGGTGGGAGGAGTTTAAACATGTGATGCACTGCGAGAATCAGTGTATATCACAACATGGCGATTTTCATTGTTCCTTATCAATCTGACCGCAGAAAGGATGGCATATAACCGTTGGAGGGAGACTTCCCATATTTTCCCTCGTTTGCTAATTGCAGCATATCCTACTCCATTTTCGGATTTTGAGCCATCTGTGTATATTGTTGTTGAGGTTCTATATTTATAGGAGTGTTCTACCAACTTCGGCTTTATTTCTATGTCAGTATCACTGACATAGCACCCTTATCAGGTTTAAGTTGAGGGGTTTTATAGGATTTCTCATCCTCCCTCCAAAAGACTGTGTCTGCCCTAGGCTCGTCACTGCTCTGTAAGCAGGATATTCTGGGTTTCTCTGAATCTATTATGATAGCTAAGATTCATGTAGTTCACGGTGAACGTTAAGGTTGGTTCTCCACTTTTCTGCGTTTCTAAAGATAATCATCAGTTCTAGGTCAACACCCAGGATGATGGTCGTCAGGATTTCTCCTGTGTTTCCCTGGGCACGAAGTGATGCACTGCGAGAATCCGTGTATATCACAACATGGCGATTTTCAATGTTCCTTATCAATCTGACCGCAGAAAGGATGGCATATAACCGTTGGAGGGAGACTTCCCATATTTTCCTTCGTTTGCTAATTGCAGCATATCCTACTCCATTTTCGGATTTTGAGCCATCTGTGTATATTGTTGTTGAGGTTCTATATTTATAGGAGTGTTCTACCAACTTCGGCTTTATTTCTATGTCAGTATCACTTTTCTTTTTTATTGCTATAAAATCCACCTTTACCCTCACTTTCTCATGGAGGGATTTGAGGGTCGAAAACTGGTAGCACCCTTATCAGGTTTAAGTTGAGGGGTTTTATAGGATTTCTCATCCTCCCTCCAAAAGACTGTGTCTGCCCTAGGCTCGTCACTGCTCTGTAAGCAGGATATTCTGGGTTTCTCTGAATTCTATTATGATAGATAAGATTCATGTAGTCACGGTGAAAGTCTAAGGGTGGTTCTCCACTTTCTGCGTATAAAGATAATCTCAGTTCTAGTAACACCAAGGATGGATGTCGTCAGGATTTCTCCTGTGTTCTGGACGATTTTACGGGGATAAACCCCCCACCTGGGTTGTCCTTATACCGAGAGTGTGTGTGTGGTGTGTATGGGAGTACATTCACCAAATTGTGTCGGGTGTTATGTTCAAGGCATCTAAAAAAAAAACAGTGTTTAGCAAAAAATACAAGTAGTGAGTATAGTGCCAGAATAACAGGGTGCTGTACGAATGACCGTTGTCGAGCCCTGGTGAGTGTGGGAGAGGGATGGGGACATGCTCGGGGCACCCGCAATGCCAACTACCGCCCCTTCAACCCTCCACCCTATGGGAGGGATTGATTCCACTGAGCATAGGGACATGAACAGTATGGAATCGCCTGCCGACCCCGATGCTGATGACGAGGGATTCCTCCAACTCGTTCAGACAAAAACACAAAAAAAGAAAATGAAGACCACATCACGTGACTCCAGCAACTTGACTGACAAACCAACAGGAGAAAAGATCAAACAACGTGAACCCATCGCTCCCCGGGACAGGCACATAAGGCTGCCCTTTCCGAAGAACACGTCTACCATCGATAAAATCAGGTGGATAGGGAGGTCAGCCACCGGCCGCCCTTCCAAGAGGAAAGCCCGCTAGACATGGTGCAAGGGAAATGAACATCTCGCTACGTCTACGTATGACGGAATGAACAGAACTACGTGGCCCTGATGGTTAATGGCACTTTCGCGGGGATTTCTCTCCAGAACAAAGATAATTATCGGCCCAAAAGCAAAAGATACGGGGAAAGCCTGGTTGCCAAGTTTCCGAAGGAGGCCGCCCCAGAGGAAGCACTGCATCTTCCGCATGTTTTAAAAGCTTGGAGGATTTACAAGGATGGACAGCCCTTAAAGAGGATCTACATTGTATGGAGCAGAGAATAGCCGCCACCTAAAAAGTACTAATTCTTTGGAAGATACATAGAGCCGAGCTCCATTCGACCGTGGAGCTCAGAGGTTGTGG